ATTGCCCAGGCCGCGTTTCCGTCCGCGCGCCATTTTCTGTGTAAAACCCTGACGAAGAGTCGCAAGGACGGATGTGATACTGACTTTTCATAGTTGCCACGAATCATGTTATATTTGTACTATACTTTATTCATGTAGTGTGTCGACCTTGAGATTCCAGATTTCAAGCAACTATGATAATCCAATATCGCGACTCAATTTTTGTATGGCACTATCACGATTGCAGCAGATGTATGTATTCTATTTGATTTTGGCCTTTTCATTATAATGAACACAGACTAATCATACGCGCCTAACTACGTTAGCTCTTAGTTTCGAGTTTCAAGTATCACGACGACTCAATTTACAAACCCTCACCGCTTACTTCCGTCATGGCAGACTTTGCAGAATCCTCGCATATATACGACACGTTCTGAAATTGTCAAATCTGGTGTGTGCTACACATGCTGTTATATACAACGTCTGAGAGCGGGAGGGGGGGGTTAAGTCCGTATTCTGTCTACTGCGATTCATATCGCTAACTTAAAAGGCGACAGCGTATAATCCCTCGGCAGTGAACAGCCTTATCTATCGGTAAATACTGCTATCACAATGTAAACTGCCTCAAAAAGAAAACTGATTCGGTATACCGCACACGATCGATAAGTCAACTTATTTCCATCATTTAAGTTTATCATAAGGTCTCATTCTGTCTATTCAGGCACGATATTAACTTTCCCTTTGACCGTGTAACAGGCACGGGTTGTACTGCTTATTAACCGCTTCTACACAACGATTTAATTGAAACAACAGCACAAGAAAAATCAGTTTGTTGTGGTCACAGCAATTCGGCAGGATGAACTGCTCGTTGATGTGTTGAGCACTGAGCATTTAGCTTCGCAAAGTACAGCACGACTCTGCTGCGGTCGAAGTAATCCTCGAGCTTCTTCTCTGGAATGGCCCACGAGATCACCCCGTCCTCAATTGTGGCTCCAACATCGGCAATGATGCAGACCAGGTCTGGCATCTTGCTCGAAAATCTGGAGGTGAGCCTCCATATACATTTAGTGGTTCACGAAGTCACACGTGGGTCCCCAGAAATTCGAATGTCGAGTCATGTCGATGGATCAGAATTTCATATTGGCATTTGGGAAATATTTAAATGCGCTAGCCGACAGCTAAACTAATAAATGAATGACACAAGGGTGTCAGGTCTTACAAACTGTGACGCTTAAGAGAAAACGAGTTGCTCGACGCCGAGCGGTTGTGGTTGGCCTTCTGTGCACGTCGAGCACGAAGAATAAGTTGTTGTCGCTCACGTGAGTATTCCTCCGCGAAGCTGGCGATAAAACCAAGCAACTCGTCGATTGGTAAAGTATCTTCTTCCTCAAAGTAGTTCAAAAAGTGTTTTCTCTGTAAAAAAAAATAGCGAATAATGACATTAGTACAACGTGACAAATTCTAGAAAATCAGTCGTAATTTACCTCTTTCTCCAATTGATTCACGAGCTTTTGCACGCCGTCAAGCTCTTGTTCGACCTCCATGGCATACAATCTCATACTTTCTCGTGACTCAGCCAAATCTGCCCGTAAATCGGTGTCGTCAGTCTTAAATATTGCAGCTTTTTGCGTCTCGTTGATCAGCATACGAAGCCCGCCTTTGAGTGACTGGTACTCGGCAAATAGACTCTGGACGGAGAGTTTACTGCACTTGGTTATTAGTGGCAATTGGTCACTAAACAATGCGAGGTGTGGCTCATCACGCTGTAAAGAGAATGCATGCAAAACGTTACATACAGGTCTCACAGGAATAGGAAAGCTGCAGCGCTTACCTCGACAGACTGGATGACATACTGTAGGAAAGATATCCGTCCGTCGTAGGCCTTTGTGAACGAGAGTTTTGCCAACGAGCTGATGGAAATACTCTTCACCCATTTCGTGTACTCCACTCCTTCGCCGAAGTTCAATAGATTACCCAAGTGGAAAACATACTCCAACACGCCAGCGAAACGATCACTTGCACACACTTGCTGGATACCTCGAATGAGTAGCTTCAAATTGTCACTGAAAAATCAAAGTACATTGTCAGAAACATAAAATGTTAAGTAAAAATATAAGCAAAACTCACCGAAGTTCCTCGACTCGTGGAGCAAAATCCATCTTGAATTGAAGACAGCGTAGCTTCTGCTGTGCCCTCGGGATCTTGCGAGCGACTATCAAAAACTGCTCCGCCTGAAGCATACAGTAGCATACCAGTCAGTCCACCTTTACTCAGTATTGGATGAGTAACTCTACACTTCACTTACCGTAGCTAGCCTCGTCACGTCACCATCGAATTGGTCAATTGCTTCTTGCTCCGCACTGTCAGGCCACATGTCAATCAACGACTGCAGTGCTGGACTGGACAACACGTCGCAGTTCAGCGTCAAAATTTCGTGCGTGAGCTCGGGAAAAGTTCGCTTCACTCGTGCCAGTACAATGGCAATGTTCTGTGATTTTTTGTGGTCAAGAAGTACGACATACATCTTGCGGTGCAAGAACGCACTGCCCGGGTCTTTCGCCACTTCCTCCTCTCCATCCACCTCGACATCCGGTTCAACCTCCACTTCCGGTTCGTCAAAGAAAGCGGGATCGGAGTTTGCACGCTCACGCTTCTCCTGTTCGAAGCGTGACTGCGACTGTTTCTTCTCTGGTGTAGCAGTATTTCCACTATTGGTTCGTCGTCGACTGACTTTTGCTTTAGCCACAACTTTGACAAACAGTTTCTCCATCCAACGTCGACTTTCACTTGAAATGCACACACGATCGAGTTTATCTTTTGCATGGATTCTACTCCACAGGGAGTCACGGCGTTGAGCTGGAATGACTGCTCCAGTGTATGGCGTTGTCGACCAGTGCAGCTTTTTGCGCATCCCATTGTTCATCTTACGCAGTGCCATCATTGCCAATGTGCGGCCATTATGACTAGTCACAGTTGAGGCAGCACGCGTGGTCATTGCGTCAGGCGTGGAAGGCGCTGTCGACACGACAGAACTGATACTGGAGCGTCTGGATCGAGCAGCTAGACTTGCTGGAGGGGCCTCACTATCGCCTGAAGAATTTACCGGGGACACAGCTCCAGTCTTCCCGTCTAACTCAGCTGGGTCTACGCCTTCTCTCTTGGCCTTCATCTCCACAACATGACGCGGGACACCCACCTTAATCATCCTGATGAATGACTCAACCTTTTGCGTGTGTTCTGGGTCTTTATCCTCAACTGGTTCTTCTACCTTTGGGATTTCAATAGGTGTTGGCACTTTCTTCGCCTTTGGAGTTGCAATAAGTTCGTCCAATACGTTTGGGTCCTTGTTTTCGGCCCGCATCTTGTGGTTAACCACGACCCGTGGTAGACCCACTTTAAGCATCTGTAAATACGAGGCGTATTCGCTCCGAAGTGCGGTGAGTCTTGCTGCATCACGTTCCTCTTCAGCTGATAAGGTTGGTGTGAGCGGCAACACCTCGTTCTCCTTTGGTTGAGTGTTGTTAGTGTCTTCTTTCTTCTCAGGTATCGTCTCGGTTTCCTCCTCGACTGGGTGGTCCTGTGTATGATGCAGATGCCGTTGGCAGCACGCAGGCAACTCGCGGTCGTTGCAGGCGTGAGTGTGGATGACCACGCGGCTCCAGCGCACATAGGCGACCAGCACGAAGCTCAGTACGAGGTGGAAGATGAGCCAGGAATCATTTGATACTGGAGGAAGGCAGGCACCGCAGTTCACTGCGACGGCGTCGGCGCGGACGAAATTTCCGTCGTAGACTGGGCAACTCCCGCTGTTCCCCATCGCAACAGCTTTGGCGGTGGTGAAGTGGTTGCAAGTGTCTCGATTCGACCAACAGAACGCAGGCGGGTACTGTCGAGAGTCTCGTTGCACTTTTGCGGTGTGGTGGAACAATCAAGCGGCAATAAAGCCGCAAGCCAGCGAATGAGCGAGATCACGAGCATTAGGCACGCGGCGCCCCGTCCGTTGCCGGTGCTCCCTGCGACGCCCACCAAGGAAGCTTCGCCGCAGTAGACGGCTCAAGTTATAACGGCAAGATGCCCATCGAGCACGAAGTCATGGCAGCCAGGCGAGCAGTGGCAGAGACCTGCACAAGAGGCAACTTGGCGATTGTCCACGGAAAGCGGATATTTGCACTTTTGTTTGTGAGTAACTCCCTGATTTGGCAACTCAACGAACAACGAAATAATGGAAAGGTTTGCGAGAGTTGCTACTTTAGGACTTGTTTGCGTGTTTTTTGCGCTACCAAAACCTGATTTTTCAATTGGCGGACCAGCCGCGTTCTTTGGATGTTCCTTTGCAAATCAGACCTCCAAGATACTTTTCTGCTGCGACCAACTGCGGTAGCAAATGTTTGCACCGTATGCAAACGATTTGTATGAAAAAGGCATCTGTAGGTTCAACTACGAATTTAATAATCGGGAGTAGCAATAAAAGACTTTTTAACGATTCTGCCAAGGGTGGACTTGAGCGTTACTGGCACAGCTGAAACGGTTGACGTTGCAATTTTTGCTAGATCGAGGCCGTCTCGCTGGCGCGCCAAATGTCACGGTCCCTATGACATTTTGTTGCAGCATTAGCAGTCCAAGATAAGCATCTCTGCAATATGCCTGGGAAGCCAAGTTCCCGCCGTGCAGCCGCGTTGAAACTGCACACGGTACAACATGCGTGTTTTCGACTGGAGAAGACGACGTGTTGACGGCCACATTTAACATGGCTAGTGTTGGCTAGTGTTCCGACGAAGCTTATACTGCTCTATTGACATCAAATCAGCCGCCCCATCCATCCTCGGGAGAACAACTGCAACTGCGCTACTAGCCATACCTGGATTGTTTTGAACAGTAAGGTCAGTCGCTCCAGACTTGATCTCAAATTCACGTTGGACAGAGCTTTACAAGTACTGTACTTACATTGCTTTTTGAGCTGCTTCTGGTGCGCCATGCCAACGTGGCGTCGCCGGGTTCAATGTTTTCTATATAACTGGTACGACCGTGATGGGAGTGGTTCATGTGTACAAGTATCGCAGCTTGGTCGCTCGTCGTATATGGTACGGTGCAACCTGTTCGATACATTGTGTGCTCGGTTCAAGATGCATCTACGTGAGCAATTATACCAGGCCACTTTGGTCGGGACTAAATGGACGTAATTCGAAGTACACCTACATGATAAATGCATGGAGCAAAAAATCACTCGGTTGTGTTTTTTGTTGAATCTACCATGTTGTTCGAGTTCATGAAATGGAGGCGCGAACGAAATATTGCTGTGACATGCATTTTAAGCGAGTTGAAACCGAAGATCCTGGATCGCCAGGATCGCCAGGATCGCCATGCTGGCGACAGATTTTGTATAAATCACTCGTCAAGAGGTTTGGCGGCTCTTAAGTGGGAAATACAAACCAGAGAATGCAATACAACCAAAGTTCTCAAAACGGACCAAGGAACTAAATTTTAGGTACGCTACTCCTTCGAGGTACATGAAGTACTTAAGTAGTAATTTGCTGTCTGTATGTCAGGTTACCATCACTTTCCTGCACATGTACGTGTAAACTTTTTTCTTTTCCTTTTGCATCTGCTAGTCTCGGATTCATTCACCCGAGTGTTGAGATTTATCTCCTCCCATTCGATTAACGCGCGCGTCCTAGAAATCCGCCATCACTTAGAAAAGTAAGTGGCATTTACCACTTCTTTATCGCTCGCCGTCAGTTTAGACAATGCCGACCTTGACGAGCATCGTGTGGCGGTCCACCTTGCTCCACTCCGAGTCTTTCATGGAGCGGTCAAAAGCAAACTTGACCTTAAGCTGCTTGCCCTTGGCGGCGTAAAAGTCCAGCTCGTCCGAGAATTCCACGGCCAGTTCACGTCCGTATCCCTTCTGCATACGAGCACGCAGCGCCTGCACCACCTCCGTCTTCTGGGACACCTGAACCATCATGTCGATCTCGCCCTTGACTCGGAAGATGAGGTAGTTGTCCGGCTGTGTGCTCATGGCAACACCCGTGAGGCGCGCGAGCTCAAACACGCGACGTTCCTTCGGCTGCTGGATCTTGTCAGCCTTCAGATTGAAGACTCGACTCTCACTGATCATTAGCACACGCGTCTGATGCGCCCAGCGCTCGTTCACCTTCTCCACCGTGTCCAGGAACAAGAGCTTCTCCTTCTGTCCACGTCCGCTGCCAGCCTTGGAGCCACGACCTTCAGTGTGGGCCTGGAGGATGGACGCGTATGCAGGGTACCTGTTCACGCCGATGTAGTCGCCCTGGTACGTGCGGTCCAGCGAGTCACGACGACGCTTCTTCTTGCCCAAGTAGCGCTCGAACTCAGTGCGCACACCAAGAAGAGCAACCTTACACGCTCGCCACATGTCGTTGGCCAGTTGCTTACGAGTCTTCAGGCCACGGTAGCGCTTGCTGAAGATAATCTGGGCGTGCTTGAGCTTCAGGAACTCGCGACGCTGCGTACGCGCCAGCACGAAACTCTGCATGAACACGATCGAGTTAAGTTCCTCTTCCGCCTTGAGGTTCTTGACCAAGCGACTGTTGTTAACGTTCAGCAGCTTGGAGGATACAGCTTCCCAATTTCCGTAAATCTTGGCAACGTGTTCCTTGTTGTTGGCGCCAGGCACACGCTTACGACGGTCCTGGCAGTTCTTCCACACTGCATCGTACGACGAGAACAGCTGCTTCGAAGCGGCCTGGAACACGCTGAGTGCAATGCGGTTCTTGTAGCGACGCCAGGCGTTCTCGATGATGTTAACGATCACCGGAATGCGCTCTTCACGCAAGATTTCCAAGGCGGACAGAGCCTGGGGGTGACGCAGGAAGATCTTGTTGCGACCAAGAGAGAAGCATCCAAGCGTGTCCGAGTCCTCTTCGAACGGAATGAGTTCGTCCTTGTTGTTCGGGTCGCGAACTCCCAGTCCAGCAGTCGTAAGCAGGTCAACGGCAGCCTTGCGAGACGAGTGAGCAACTGGGGCCGGCCACGTCGACTCTGACAGGAAGCTGTAGCGCTTGATGAATGGAGCATACGGCTGGCTGTAGCAGAAACCCTGACGACGCACACTCAGGTTCTCCACCAGTCCGAGATAACGCACCTGTTCCGCCACCAGCTCCTTGTTCACAGCCAGTGGCTGCTTCTTCTCATTAGGCTTAATACAGCGGATATAGTGTGGGTTACAGCCATCCAGCTTCTTGAGTAGATCAGCCACTTGCGTACGGAACTGCTGGGACGTCGACGGCGGGCGCTTGAGCTTCGTCTCCTTGGATCGCTTGTCCAGGAAGACTTCACGCACAAAGGCGTTGGACGACTGCTCCATTCCGTCCTGCAGGTCGTTGAAGAACGTGTCCACATTGGCGTCAAAGAATAGAGTGACGTCGTACTCGACCTTGCCGGCGTAATGCACAATACCGAAGTTGGGGCCACGCACACGCGATGCAATGTAGTGCGGGTTCCTCGAGTGTTCGCTGTTGTAGCGCTCGATAAGCTCTAGCTCCGATAGACGCGCAATAGCACACTGTTCATCCAGCAGGGGGAAGATTCCGTGCTGCTTGGGGTCCTCGATCAGGTCGCACACGACCTGATTGTTGAAGAACTTGATGTTCTGCCAGCTCAGACCTTCGCGACGGTAGCCTTCCTGCTCGCTCTCGAGTGTTTGACTGATAAAGAGTTGCTGTAGCTTTTCGTTCACGTAGTTGATGCACAACTGCTCGAACGCGTTCACTTCGAAGATCTCGAAGCCGTAGATATCCAGGATACCGATGCTGTTGTTGATGTCACGCTTCTTGCACGTCACGTTCTTGTTGATACGAGCCACAATCCAGTCGAAGATCTTTTCGTACAGCGAGCGCATGATCGAGTCGCACACTTTCTTGGCCTGACGCGCATCGAACAATACTTTCTGGTCCTCACGGTAGATGTTGACGATACGGAACGTCAGTAGAGCCTCCAGTTTGTCCTTGTCAATACCCATGAGACTAGCAGCCTTGGCCAGAGCCTCACGAGCTGCAGGGTCCTCAATAGCAGCACGCGGGTTGTGCGCCTCGTCCGTCGTCTGCTTGAACTGCACATTACCCAGCCACAGAATCGCTGAAAGCTGCTGGAAAATATCGTGCTGCTCGTCGTCTGTGATTCCTACAGCCGTCATGTTCTCCCGGACGTTGCGGTAGTTCTCGGCGTCATCCACACCTTCGATCGTGGCGTCTTCATTACCTAGAACATCGAATTCCTCGGCGCTTTCTGGCAATTGCCACGCTTCACGGTCAGCCGCCGAGGCGCCAGACATGAGCTGGTAGAAGGCGTGGAAGTTGCGCTCTCCCTCGGCCTGACGGATCACGCGACTGCGCTCCAGAAGGTAGTTGTCGATGTATCCGCCAATGACTTGGCCCACACGGTTCATCTGCAGCACAATGTACTTGCCAAAGCGACTGCTGTTGTTGTTGCGGATGGTCTGAGCGTTACCGAAGGCTTCGAGCACGGGGTTGCTGCCCCACAGCACGTCGGTCACGTGGCTCGTCATGTCGTCGGCCTCTTTACGCTGCGCGACGGACATGCGACGGTTAGCGATGACGGCGCTCTTGGCTCTGGAGCGCGTGCTGATGGTAGTGAGATAGCGCATGACGTGCTTGGACGTCTCCGTCTTGCCACTACCAGACTCGCCTGTGATGAGCAGACTCTGGTCCAGACCGAAGCGCATGAGGTTCGAGTAGGCGTTCTCGGCCAGTGCGAACGGGTGGGGCTCGCACACGTGCAGCTCCTTGCCCTGGAACTCGTCGATCATGTTGCGAGCGTAGATGGAGTCGCCGTTGGGCTGACGCAGCATCTTGTATGGGTTCATGGCGATGAGCACGGGGCCGAGGAACGTGTAGACGTAGCCCTGGCGGTAGCGAGTGACCAGCTCATTGACGACGTGGTCCTCGTCCACGGTGTCCACCATCAACAGGTCCTTCATGGTTGCTTCCGGGGGTTCAAGGAAGGACAATCACTCTGCGGGCGCACGCTCCCGAGCTTTCTCTTTGCCGAATGATGTCGTTGTCCGCGTGGTCGATTTCTGACTCCCCCCTTTTCGAAAGTAGTGCGGCATTACAGACCTGTGGGAAACAATATGAGAATTATTCCCAGTAGAACAAAATTTGCTTGGGTTTCGATTGCATTACTTGATACCCTGTAGAAGTAGATTCCTGTTTCTAAACGACAGTTGAGGTGTCGAGCTTGACACGGAAAGGCCTCCAGGCCTGCTGGAACAGAGCATGGTGCCGTTTGCATGAGCAAACTATGCCGCCATCCGTATCTCTCCACTGCTGGGGCGGTGTCGAGATCGCAGCGAAAGCGTGATACGGCGTCGACACGAGGTGTCGCTCTGCAGGACCTACCGCGAGGGTATCAGCTTCATATACTGTAGCCGGTAGCGCCACTCGACGACGTAGAAGGAATCAACGACAGTAAAGGCCTGTGATGCTCTCTCCGCACGGTGCCTTTCTACTGTTGATGCGCCTTTCGGTTGATTGCCTATATTAGAAACGCAGACAACCAAAATGTTGCCGTAGCAACGTGCCTGAGCAACCAAACGACGGGGTTGCAGTCGTCGCTCAGTTTGACATATGAATCGATTGCTGAACTGATCCAGGGCTGAGCGCAGGCGCCTGGAGAAGGATGTGGAAACGGAAACTTGAGGCGGAGTGATGGAGCCGACGTCGGCAACTGAGAGCGCGGCCGCAATGAATCCGATCCAATTGTGTGATTGCGCCGGCGACATCCAAAGCAGGGCCAACGTTGAAGACCAGACAAAATAGAAACGTTTAGAAACGTGACTTGTTAACGGCGAATAAAATAGTTTATGTCGAAGCTTTTATTGCTTGAAAAGCTAGTGAATTTATTAAACGATTCGTGTAATACCCGACAAGTTTTTAGGGGAGCTGATAATGTGGGAGCTAACATGAACCTTACCGTGCTAGCAAGAATGCATAGTGACTGTAGTAAATTACCTGGGACAATCATACTAAGTAATCCAAATTCTCAAGTTGGTATACTTCGAAGTACCAAGCAACAGCTTCATTTTACTTATCCAGCACTGTGACTTCGTACGTGAACCTTAAAATGCTTACAGTGTAGATAAACTTACTCTTCGTCATCGCCAGTCTCGTCGATCTCCACCAGGAGGTCGCCACCAAGCATGTTGTCACCAACATCTGCGTGGATCGACACCACACGGCCGCTGACGGGAGCAGCCACAACAGTCTCCATCTTCATAGCACTCAGAACCAACAGGGCGTCACCAGCCTTCACGTTCTCACCCTTCTTCACACGCACATCGAGCACAACACCGGGCATCGGGGCACCGACAGAACCAGGCAGTCCCGTAGCCTTCGGCTTGACTGCTGTGGACACACCAGCAGCCTCATCCTTGACCTTGATCACACGCTGGCGACCATTTAGCTCGAAGATCACATCACGCATACCGTCCTTCTTGCTCACGCCACCAACAGCAATCAGCTTGATGAAGACCGTCTTGCCGTGTTCCATCTCAACTTCAACCTCCGTGTCCACCTCGAGACCCGTCAAGAATGTACGAGTGTCCAGGAAGTGCATCGAGCCGTACTCGTCCTTGAACTTCTGGAAGCCCGTGAACACGTCCGGGTAGATAGCGTGCGAAATGACATCCACGTCACGGATTTTGTCAGCGCCGTACTTCTCCTTCAGCTCCTTCTCAGCCGCTTCGAAGTCATACGGCTCCATCTCAGCGCCCGGACGGCCGTGGAACATTTCCTGGCCGTTCGGCAGCACCTTACCCTTCAATACACGCGAGCGCAGAGGCTCCGGGAAGCCGTGGTGCGGAATACCAAGATATCCCTGGAAGTACTCGACCACAGACTTGGGGAACGACAGCGTCTCGGCCTGGTCGATCACCTCCTGCTCCGTCAACTTGTTCTGCACAATAAACTGCGCAAAATCACCAACAACCTTGGACGAAGGCGTCACCTTGATAATGTCGCCGAGCAGACGGTTAGCGGTCGCGTAGGCACGCTTAATCGCCGGCCACTGACCCGCAAGACCGAGTTGCGTCGACTGGAACAGCAGATTCGTGTATTGACCGCCAGGCATCTCGTGGTTGTACACGTCAGCCGAACCAGACTTCTGACCGGACTCGAAGGGTGCGTACACGCCACGCATCGTCTCCCAGTAATCGTTGATCTCCATAATGTCCTCTGCGTTCACTCCAGTGTCGTACTTGGAGCCCTTGAGCGCAGCGACAACAGCGCCCATCGAAGGCTGCGAGGTCGTGCCAGACATGGCATCCGAGGCCACATCAACAGCATCGGCACCAGCGTACGCAGCCTCCAGCATGGAACTCACACCAGTACCAGCAGTGTCGTGTGTGTGGACGTGGATCGGCAGATCTGGAAACTCATTGCGGATAGCGGAGATGAGGATCTGCGCAGCCTGGGGCTTCAGCAAGCCAGCCATATCCTTGATGGCGAGTACGTGGATACCTTGAGCAACCAACTGACGCACGAAGTCCAGGTAGTACTCAAGGTTGTACGGGCCACGGGTCGGGTCGGAAACATCTCCAGTATAGCACATAGCAGCCTCGATGATACCGCCAGCAGCACCGACGGCGTCAATGCCTAGCTTCATGTTCTCCAGGTAGTTGAGAGAGTCAAACACACGGAAGACATCCATACCAGTAGCCTGGGCCTTCTCGCAGAACTTGTACACTACATTGTCCGGGTAACTCGTGTATCCGACAGCGTTGGCGCCACGTAGTAGCATCTGGAACGGAATGTCGGGCACAGCTTCACGAAGAATAGCAAGACGGTCCCACGGGTCTTCACGTAGGAAGCGCATGGACACATCGAACGTCGCTCCGCCCCACATCTCAAGCGAGAAGGCATCACGCATCGCGATAGAAGTGGCAGGGGCGATGGCAAGCATATCACGGGTACGCATACGCGTAGCAAGCAGCGACTGGTGAGCATCACGCCATGTAGTGTCGGTCAAAAGCAGTCCCTTCTTGGCACGTACAGCCTTCGCGAAGGCCTCTGGGCCTTGCTCGACGTAGATCTGACGCAGTGACTTCTCCTTGGACGCCGGCGGAGCTGCAAGGGTCGGAATGATCGGGTCAACCTTAGACGGAGGGGGTCCAGTAGCACCCAGCGCCTTCTCCGGGCCGTTAACGATCGTGTTACCGATGTATTTGAGCATCTTCTGGCCACGGTTCGTCGACTTAGACGGCTCCAGCAGGTCCGGGTTGCTGGCAATGAAGCTCGTGTCCACAACACCCCTGATGAAGTCCGGATGATTCAGTACATTGGTCAAGAAGCTCTTGTTGGTGGTCACGCCACGCACACGGAACTCGGACAACGCACGCTTCAACTTGTGAGCGCAATCACCACGATCCAGAGCACGGGCAGTCACCTTAACGAGTAGAGAGTCGTAGTGAGGGGTAATGTGAGCACCGACGAATCCAGGACCGTCATCCAGACGGATACCCATGCCACCGGGGCTACGGAACACCTCAATGACTCCAGAGTCCGGCTGGAAACCAGTGCTCGGGTTCTCCGTGGTCACACGGCATTGCATGGCATGGCCACGCGGCTTGATCTTGTCCTGACTCAGACCCAGATCCTTAAAGGTCTCACCACCAGCGATACGGATCTGACTCTGCACCAAGTCGATGCCCGTGATCTCCTCCGTGATCGTGTGCTCGACCTGGATACGAGGGTTCACTTCGATGAAGTAGTGGCGACCTTGTTGGTCCACCAGGAACTCTACAGTACCAGCGTTCAGGTACTTAGCAGCACTGGTGAGACGCACAGCGTCATCGATCATAGCCTTCTCAGTCTTGGGGTCCAGACCCACAGCAGGGGCCGTTTCCAACACCTTCTGGTGGCGACGCTGCACACTGCAGTCACGGTGGTACAGGTGCACAACGTTTCCCTGGCCATCACCCAAGATCTGGACTTCAATGTGGCGCGGGCGGTCCACGTAGCGCTCAATAAACACAGTGCCGTCACCGAACGCGGCCAGGGCCTCGGAGCTGGCACGCTCGAAGTTCTCCTCGAGGTCCTCGGCGCGGTTGACGACACGCATACCACGGCCACCGCCTCCCATACTGGCCTTAATGATCACAGGATAACCCACACCCGAGTCGATGAAAGCACGAGCCTCCTCGAGGGTGTGCACAGGTCCGTCCGTACCCGGCACCACCGGAACCTTCTGCTCGATGGCGATCTCACGCGCAGCGGTCTTGTCACCGAAGCGCTGCAGGTTCTCAGGAGTAGGACCCACGAACTTGATGCCGTTCTTAGCGCACTGTTCGGCAAAGCCCACGTTCTCACTGAGGAAGCCGTAGCCCGGGTGGATAGCGTCGATGTTGTTCTCCTTCGCGATCTGGATGATGCTGTCGATGTCCAGATACGCGCCTACGGGGGACTTGCCCGCGCCCACGAGAAAACTCTCGTCCGCCTTGTAGCGGTGCTGCGTGAAACGGTCCTCCTTGGAGAAGATGCCGACGGTGCGAAGGCCCAGCTCGTTACCGGCGCGCATGATGCGCGTAGCGATCTCGCCACGGTTGGCGGCCATGAGCTTCTTGATGGTGCTGGCATCGCGCGTCTGCTGCGGGCGCGTGAGGCTCGAGCCCACGCGGCGGCCGACAAGGAGGCGCTGGGATCGGAGCATGGAGAGTGATGGTCTTGCTGGTCCAACGGCGAATTCCCAAATGAGGATACCAAAACGTGGGGCGCAAGACAAGATATGCTTTTGGTTGCAGCAGCCCGGGTCGGTGACTGAGAGAGTGTCACGACCTTTGGCGGAGCATACAAAGTTCAAGATATCGTAACCAGATGGGATGGATTATGTACACCACATGGATTACAGAAATGGTGCTTTTGAAGCACTTCAAACGCGCGTCAGACATTTTGCCCGAAAAACTGGCAGTGCCGGGTGGCAACGAGCCGCTGTCATCCCTCACTAAAGCTGAAGTTCCGCCTTGCAGTTCACGACCGAAAGAGTTTGATGCCGACGCGAGCGAGCGAGTGAATGGACGCCAATGACGATCTGCATCCGGCTGGACTGGTCTCTGTCGAGGGGATGCGGCGGTGTAGCCTACACTGAAATCAAGGCCTGGCAAAGCCCACCAGAATGAGTATGCAACCTCTTGTGTTTGGACGAGGGGGTGCCTACAGTTGTGCTGCGGGCTCGTGTCGCTTGAGGAGATGGGGATCCTCGAAGCAGAAATCGAGCTCTGCTTGATCAAAGGATTCGTCGACCTTCGGCAGCTTACCATACCATTGACTTCGTAACTGGCAAATGCATCTGTTTACCGGACCAATTTTAGCGATCTTGCGCTTCAACGTGTTACAACAAATCTCGATGTACATTCTGGCATCGTCAGTCGGCTTGCGTATCGCCTGAAGCTGGCACCGTATTGCTGAAACCAAGACGGTATTGAAGGGTCCAATAGCCCACCGGTATCGGTGTCGTTGCAAAAATGCTATCACTGTGCTTGCATTATGGGGCCACCATAGTGACCGCGGTCGTATATTCCACACCGGAACGGGCTCATTCACGCTGGTAGTGCTCAATTTTTAGGAGCATACTGGTGCATGTATGTACATGAACAACATGCACCGTTCTTGCATCGGCATCCAATCAACCTGATTAGGTGCTGACCAAATTCAGTATTCAGTTGAGAATCTGGAAATTCGGGCGCAAGCCTTCCGGTTCTGTGGCGAGCTCATGAGCGTTGGTGCAATATTTACAGGCGTTTGCTTCAAACCGTTTAAAGCATGCTGCATGCTGGTGAAGAAGAATACTAAGATCGATGCGAGCGCGATATCTCTTCAACTTCGAGCCGCACAATTTCATTTTCTTGGTTTACATGAAGTACAATCCTTTTTTATGCATAAAGTATTTCGTTTAGCATTTTTCTATTAATATAAGTATCTTCCAACCAAGGTCCGTGAATACACAAGCATCGGTGCATCTTCTACTTGTCGTCTTTTCCTTAGTTCATGGAGCTGAATCCAAGGAAAGGGACGACAAAGGAGATCAAACACCAGTCAAAATAAAACAAAATAAATTTGAAGTGATGCAACACGGAGACAGGATAAACACCTGACACTAGACAACCTCTACAGGAGCAGTTGTACTGCATTTCTTGTTTTGTTTAGCTACAACACGGGCCAAGTGAAAGCGAGGTACATTGCTGCCACTTGTGCACTACTAGCTAGTGGTAGTACTAGTAGGCGTCGATTGAGCTCGCCATGGCGATATTTGTCGTAAACCTTTCTGTCTGGATGGCTTGGCATAGTTACTTTGACTTTCAGCAATTGAAGACGTATTCCTGATATTTTTTTAGTCTCCCGTTAGCAATTTAGAAGTTTACTCGTAAGTCTCCGGCCATGGCCTCTGTCTTTCGTCATTCTTCGCTCTAGAAAATTTATTCTACAGGGTTTCATCGTCGTAGGTTTTGGCTATTGTGCCGATCACTGAGGTACTCCGGCCGGGTACGGATAGCATAAAAGTACGTCTCCCGCGTTGTATACCGCGGATAATTGAGGAGATGTACGGGTCATCGTCACATATCATTGCCACTACGGCCTCCAATCAGTAAGTAAATCCCAACTACTGGATGACGTGATCTCACCTGTCGAGGCCACACCGTTAACTTTCAATCTCTGAGTATTAGTTGCCTGCTTCCTACTGCTACTGTATAAATATTGGCTGAGTATGCAACGGAGAGAGCAACCGGAATCTGATTGGTGAAACTTTAGATTCCTGAATTTTATTGGCAGAAATTACAAACGCAGCGAGGGATGACCACCTTGGTGCTTGTCAGTGCGGAGTGCAGCAAGAATTCGAGTCACGGATAGCTGCCGGCCGTAAGCAGCGTAGATTTTATCAATGGCGACGTCGCTGGTGAAGCCTGTGCGAACAAATGCACTGACGACATCCCAGAATACCTTGCGGCGAGAATACGCGAATTTGTTGGCGCCACGCTCAGCTGCTGTGAACTCTTTTGCCGGTTTCAATCCGTTCAATCCGAACTCATACTCTCCCCATAGTTCGTAGAGATCCTTCGGTCGTTTTGAGAGCATTGCACGCGGAAGTACGACGGAACCTTCTTCTTCTACTCCGTCTCCACCTCCATTTGCTGAGGAGCGAGGGTGTATCGTGCGAACTACAGGTTGCAGGGCTATACGTCGAATCACTGCCAGAATCTTTTGATTTTCCCGCTGTCTCTCTGTGCGAGAGCGAAGAATTTCGTTCAGCAAATTTGCCGTTTGTCGCTGTAAACTGAATAATTGAGAGTGAATCGAAGCGAATTCCTTGCGAGTGCTGTCAGCAGTCAAGCCGCCATTTTGGCGATCCAAAACGCCATTTTCACCAGCATTATCATGTACTTCGACGAGTTGAAGCTGAGCACCATCACCAACAACGTGAATGGGTACACGTTCCACAACATTGACGTCTTCTTTCCCACCAACACCTAAATAGGCTTGAATAATGCGCCGCTTAAGAGCAGCTGGAATGATTTCATAGTCAAAACTTCCACGCGGCACTAATGCTGCCCAAAGGAGCGGCAACGCGAGCACCCGAGCCATCTCTTCACCTACGGCCTCCTTAAGCGCAGGACCTACATGTTTGACTAGCAGGTCATTTGTTACAACTTGGACACCATCTTTGAGAACGTAGCAGCATGGACCCAGTGGTCCAGCCAACACCCCTGCAGCAATGGCGTCTGGATAGGGTTGTGTGTTGTCAATGTAGACATCAACAACACTCTTTCGGGTACGCCACCTTCCACGGCGATTAACGTAGTCCTTTGGTAGACCAGTTCGACTACCATAAGTAGCTGCGCCTTTTCTCATGCTGTGTGTACCCAAATTGCCTGCTTTGAGTTTGTGAAAGTCGGTTCCTTCAAAAACGTCTTGCAGAAAACGACGGACGACGCGATCTCCGTCTTGTGGATTACCAAATACAAACGGTGAAAGTGCTGCTTTATCCGTCATCTCCACATGTATTGCCAAGTTGAGCAGCGCGCAAAGCCGAGGATCCATGCTGCCTAACACAATTTGTTCCGGTGCGTCCCGCTCCTCTGAGATATTTTTCGACCAACGCAATTGACAAATCAATGAACCTGGGTGGTGAATGCTGCACGAAAAGCTATCGAACTTCAGTTTCATCATGTCGTCAATGCGTGCAATGAGGTGCCATTGCATGGTGAGCACAGCACAGACTAAATACTTCAGTGAACCCTTGCCGTTTCCCGTGTGAACTTGATCCAGTAGATTAAGAAATTCACCATACTCGATCGGACGCCTAGCTGCCGATTGGACTCCTTCTCGTCGTACCTCGCATCGCTTCACCTTCTTAATTACTGCATTTACAGTCTCTGAGCGAGTTGGATTCCCTTCGTTGCGAATAGGGCCCCAAGGAACTGTGCGGCGTGGCATGAAAGAGGAAATCGCTTTCTTGGCGTATTCCAAGGTGGACGCACGGGCGTTCACCGGTTTTGCGTCCTCCGCAGGATTGGCGTCTCCAAACGCGCGAAAATTCATCCAGTGACACACGTCGTCGGGTGTGATCTCCAACAGGGTGTCTTGACTGAAGCTAATGTCCGTACTGAAGGTATGACCAGCTCCAAACGCCATGAACTCATTGAGAATTGACTTGTATCTGTTGCCTCGCATTACCCTTGTGTTTCGAGCCGTGTCTTTGGTTATGAGAGGATCTTATGCAACCCGAGGGAACGTGCACACGTTTTTTGTATGGTAGTCAGGTTGCAAAGGTCGGTGAAAAGGCAAACTCTGTGTGCAACTGATTTTACATTTCATACTGATACATTCTGCAGTGTATTATCCTTAAATGGGTCGGTACGGCGAACAAATCGACTGAGAAGCCAATTAGATTGTCGTGAACGCGACAAATACAACTTCGGTTGCATTTGGCCAGTTATGTAACGG